GTGTGTGTGTGTGTGTGTGTGTAATTGCTGCCTGCCTGCCCTCGAGCTTGGTGAAATGGCGGCGCAGCACCACACGATGGACTTGCAGCAGGCGCTGGAATCGCGTGTGCCGTACGAGTTTCTCAGCCCCGCGCTGCGGCAGCGGGTCAGCGTGAGGGCGTACCAGCAGCACTGCGTGCACCACGCGGCGATGCGGTACTACGAATACAGACGCCTGCCGGAGTTCGTCCGCGCTGGCGTGGGGGAGGCGAGCTACTACGAGATGATGCTTCAGCAGCTGCAGGGGAAGCTGCAGCTGTATCCGTACATGCACATACGCAAGGTGGTGCAGCACACGAAGGAGACACCGCTCAGCTACTACACGACAATGGTCGCAGAACTACTCAAGGCGGAGCGCAGCTACGACACACTCCCCAACTTCACCGCTGTCGATGTGCTCAACAGCGTCGGCATCGGGCGCAACCAGTACCTCGAGCTCACCAAGGAGGTGCGGAGCAAACTGCGCTGGCACATCAATCGACAGTACGTGCGGGACCATCTGCCGTCGGAGATGCTGCAGGCCATCGTGCTACCGCCGTTCTGGCGTGTCTTCGCGGTGAGTGTGCCGGCAGAGGTGTTGAAGCGTGCCGCCCTCACCGCAGAGGAGGCCTCGTTGCACCGCCAACTGCTTCTGCAGCCTCGGAGAGGGCGCGGCAGCAACATCATCAGCAGCAACGATGACACCAGTGGTGGCGACGGGCAGCCGTGCTACTACGCCTGCGAGCTGCCGCACGCACCACTGCACCGCTTGTACCGCAAGGGACTTGTCTGCGCGACGTTCACTGTCAGTGCGGAGGATCAAATTGTGGTGCCGCCACTCGAGCGCTTCGTCATGAACCGCACCTCTGACGACCCCGGCGAGGTGCTGCTGTATAGGGTCCTCGCGACAATAGACAACCGCACCTCGCTGAGTCTGCTTGCGCAGCTTCTTATGCTTGATGAGGCAGATGTCTGCACAGCGGCCCACATGTACATCCGCCTTGGCCTCGCACAGTTCAAGAGAATCCACATTCCTGATGAATTTGCACAGTCGACCGAGCGCGTGCACGAGACGTGGCGCGACGCGGTGCAGGATCTGGTGTCAGAGGCTGCTGCTGCTGCTGCTGCGTCTGCCTCCCTTGCGAACTCTGTGGCACGAATAGCGGGGGGCTCGCGTGATGTGGAGGCGTACGGCGGCAGCAGCAACAACAACAACAATAGCCACCCGTCAAGGCGTGTGGCGCTGTTGTACGACGCAAGTCTCACGGGGTTCCTCATGATGACGAACCTGAGCTCCGATCCAACATTCAAGCAGCACGCGGTCACGCTGTTCGAGGTGGGGAAACTGCCAGAGGAGATGATGGGGAGCTTCATTGAGAAGCTTGAGCAGGTCGACAACCATGCTGAGCTCGACCTTGGTGGTGAGGCGGTGAAGTACATTCAGAGTGTGCTGTGCCTGCGCGAGGTGCTCAAGGCGCTCCAGTGTGTAGAGGGCCCCGACAAGGAGTGCGGCGTCGACATGATCAAGGTGGAGTCGATGAACGAGCTTGAGCCAACCACGCGCTACTCCGTCCTGGGGCGCAACTACTGGGCGTACTTTGTCACGTCTCCGGTGTCGTACGCGCCGCTCATTGACGTGGCACTTAACTGCGTATACGGTAGCACTGTGAGCCTGATGCCGTCGCCATGGATGACGCTGTACCTCTACGCCACAATGGGCACAGGACCGCCGTCGTTGCTGCTGCCAGCTGGTGCACGACTATACGCATGGCCGGCGATGCTGCAGGACACGGGGAACAGTATCGCAAAGCTGCGCCTACAACCACTAACGATGGATGCGGAAATCACGTACGTGGAGGCGGCCACCTCCATTATTTTGGCGAACGAAATGACGGCGACAGCGCCGATGTTTGTGCAAAGGGTGGCGGATGTACCGCTGTCCCCAACAACAGGACCCTCAGCAGCGGGTGGTGGTGGTGGAGGAGGAGGAGGAGGAGGAGGTGGTGGTGGTGGTGGTGGTGGCGGGTTTCTCCTGGAGGCTGCCGCCTACACGTCACTCACCGTGATGGTGCCCTTCACTGCCTCTGATGAGGAGGCGGTGAAGCTGCTGCGCGTGGCAGTGGTACAACACCTGCGCATGGATGCAGAAGAAGCCGTGCGCTTTGTTGATGCCCGCGCCGGCTGCAGTGATAATGCCCCCGCTTCGCGGTTTCTGGATCGATTCCATGCTGCGGTGGTGGCGATGCATTTGGAGAACTCGCTTGGCTGCTTTACGTTCTATGTGTCCCTCTGCGATGTCACAGCCACGGTGAAGAAGAAATCGACAACGAGAGCGTCTACAACAACGACGACGACGGTAGCAAAGACGACTACATCAATTGCGGATGCCGGGACACCTCTGGCGTCAGAGGCATCAGCAACGTCTGTATCCAAACCCGAGGTGGGAGCAAATGCGGCAACAGGGGCTAAAGATGCAGAAGAGGCCGTGCGTGTGTACAGTGTGGATGAGGCTTTTGTCGTTGACATTGGCCTGGGCATTCCCTTGACAAATTGGCATTGCTGCTCGGTGATGGTGCACCACCTGGGAAGTCTGTTGGGCGAGGCGCGCAGCGAGTGCCACAACGACGCAATGCGGCACCTCGCAAGTGACTTTGGCGAGTTCCTTGAGCGCTACTCGCCGCTGACGACAGCCGCGCGTGAGAAGATGGCGCTGCAGTCCTCCGCTGTCACAGGGCCGACGACTCAGATGCATATTCGGCGCTTGGGCGAAGGGGGGAACGGCGGCGCGCCGTTCCCGAGTGCGATGATTGCGTTTGACGGCGAGCGCCTCGTTGTGACCGATGACTGGAACCCTCTCGTGGAGTTGTGATGTTTCAACAGTGAGTGTGAGTCTGTACACAGACGCCTGCCTCTCTTCCCGAGGGCTGAGCTGCCTCCGCTGCTGCTGCTGTGTGGATGTGTTTGAGGGCGTGCTTCTTCTTTCCGCTTTGCTTCACAATCACCACAACGAGTTGGTCGAGGGAAGAGGGGGACGAGAGACAGAGGTAGTGTGTGTGTGCCAAGAGGGATATTCAAACATACGTAGGAANACACACACACACACCCACACACAGAGAGAAAGAGAGAGAGAGATAGAGAAAGAATTGTATATCTATACAGACAGGTACTCACGTGGGTGGCTGCACGCCAATGTCACACGAGGCGTTTCGTCTCAATGAGCTCAAGCAAAAGTTATCGTACAAAATTGAATCCATCGCCACCGCAGGGAACCTCTTCTTCCTTGGCACCAGCGACGGCAAGCTAGTCGTGTATGAGGTCTCGCTCGAGAGTTATGATGCCCAGTGCGTCCACATCCAGACTTCAAAGCACAAGCAGCCCATCCGCATGATTGTGCCAATCGTAGAGAAGGAGATTCTAATCGCAGTGGCGGGGGACATCATTGTGTTGCACGAGCTGCAGCACATGAGTCATGTGCAGCTCAACTGCCTGCCGGAGAACCGTCTGCCGGAGTTGGGCACCGTGAAGGGGACGAAGGACGTCGTCGCGCTGCATGTGAAGCGGCACCGCGGTGTCTACTCAATGGCGGTCTTGCAGCGCAAGAAGGTCACTATCTATGAGTACAAGGACCAGCTGCAGAATTTCACGGTGGTGAAGGACGCTCTGGCGCTGCCTGAGGGCGCCAAGACGCTGCTGTGGGTGGGCAAAAATCTTATGCTTGGGTTTCGCCGCGAGTACGTACTGCTGGACGTTTCGAGCGGCGCCACGGACTGCCTGTACCCGACGGGCAAGAGTGGCGTGCCGTTGCTGCTCTCACTCGATCCGGTGCCAGAGCTGCTGGTGGGCGGAGACGGTACCGGTATCCGTGCGCTGCACGACGGCAGCCTCGTGCCGGGCCGGAGCGGCATGCCGTGGCCGTCGCTTCCCACAAGCGCCGCCTACGTTCACCCGTTCCTCCTCACTGCTCATGACAGCAACTGCATTGAGGTGCGGGTGCCGTTCCTCAGCACGCTGCAGGAGTCGACGAATCCCGCGCTGTGCCAGAGCATCAGCGTCAAGTACGCTGACCGCATCTCACAACGGCCATTCGTCGACTTCGATGCCCGCCTACCAAGACCGACGACACCGCCGGATGCGCTGCGCAAGGACATCACGATCGCCATCAACAGCAGCAACACAGTGTACCTGCTCGAGTTCGTGCCGCTGAAGGAACAGGTGATGGCGCTGGCCTCTGCCAAGTGCTTCGAGGCAGGCCTTCTGCTCTGCCAGCTGTGCGTTAACGAGGTGGACGAGACGACGGTGGTCAGCCTCAAGACACAATTCGCTCTTTGGACCTTCGCCACGAAGAGGGAATTCAGGACCGCCATGCTGCGATTCCGTGACGCCAACGTGGACCCACGGCTCGTGATTGATCTCTTCCCTGGCTTCCTCACGCAGAAGGGGCGGGAGACGTGGGGACGCCCTCCCAAGGAGTATGCGGTGTCGCTCGATACAACCGACCTCGCACGACACATGCAGGACGCTGTTGCAGCCTTTCTAGACTACGCGCTGCCACTGCGCTGCGAGTATACAGCAGGGAAGGAGGAGACGGTACGCGTGTTGGCGGAGGCCATTGACACCGCCATTGTCAAGGCATACGTCGTGATGGGGCAAGAACAGGAGCTGATAAGGTTTCTTGGCGAGGATAACGTGTGCGACCTCGCGGAGGGGGAGGTGTTCCTCGCGGACAGCGAGCAGTGGGTGGCGTTGGTCGCGCTGTGGCATCGCCACAAGCTGCATAGCAAGAGCCTCGCACTGCTATGCACACTCGGCACGACGGGGCAGCCAGCCGCCGCCGCAGCAGACACCGCTGTCATGCCGACACCATCTGCTGAGGTGAAAGTGCCCTTCGATTCGGAATTTTCGCGGCTGCTAGAGACGCTGCTCGCCGAGTGCTTTGCCGAAAACGAGAGGACAAATAGCAGCAGTGACAGCGAAGGCGGTTTTACGCCGCAAAGCGTCCTTGCGAAGCTTTTGGCGAAGAATACAGTAGACGTGGACAGCTCACAGATGCCGCAACTCCTGCGTCGCTGTGTTGGTGTGGTGACGACCATCCAATATGTGCGGCGGCTCTCGTGGGACGAGTGCGAGACAGCGGCGTTGGTGGAGCGGTATGCGCGGTGGATCCTCGCCGACGTCCCTCCACGGTGGTCTGCCATGATGCTTCCCGCGAAACTTGTGCAGCCACAGCACTACCCCGCCGTTCTTCGCCTTGTGAGCGCCGATATGAGCGACATTGGCCACACGCGTTCGGACGAGAGGCTGGTGGAGTGGCTCTCGCGGGTGTTTGGCGATGCGTGCAGCACATGCATTGATGCCGCGACGCATAATGCTTATTGGTACAGCCTTGCGCAGCTCGTGGTGAACAATTCCAGCACGCAGCAGCAGCAGCAGCAGATGGTGTGGCAGCGATGCCTAGATGACTTTCTGCGGACGTCGCGGTACATGGACGTGGCAAAGGCGAAGGTGTATTTCGAGCAACCGGACGTGCGATCGCGTGCGTACGCGGAGCGCGCCATCATCTACCAGCGACTGAGGCTGCACGAGGACGCCATACGCATGTTTCTTTACGAGGCGGATCATCTGCAGGAGGCGCAGGACTACGCGACGCGTGTTGGCCGTGACGAGGAGGACGATGCCTTCGAGATTCTCCTTCGGCTGCTGCTCAACCCCGGTGACACAGGCTCTGCGCCGCTGCTGCAGGAGGCCGTTGCGATGGTGAACACGTGCGACGGCGTCGACCCGCTGACGGCGCTGCCGCTGCTGCCAGACAGCACCCCCGTCGCCGACATTGCGGACTTCATGAAGCGGTCCCTCCGCGACGCGTCGACGCGGAGCTGCAACGCGGCGATTTACGCCAGCGTCTTGGAATCGTGCATCCGCAAAGCGGAGGTGGGGCTTGTGGCGGAGCGGTCGCGTCGCATTGTGATGGATTTGGGCACTTGCTGCGCCGTCTGCGAGAAGAAGATGCGGCTCGATACCGTTTTTGTGCGTTTCCCCAACGGCGTGGTGGTGCACCAGGCCTGCATGGACGACGAGCACGTCTGCCCTGTGACGCGCGAGGACTTCCGCCGCGGCATCGAGTCGGCCACGCGTGAGACGTTGTAGCGTTCCCGGTGTGGCTCTGCATGCGTGTGGGTGCTTGCTTGCGCGCCTCCCTCCCCTCTCGCTATGGGGTCGCGCGCGTGAATTCATGTGTGCCGGTGTGCGTTGTGTGGGGAGGAGAAGGATGAGTGTCTGGGGGCGGGCGCTGCGTGTGCTCTTGCAAGTACTCCTGCCCCCTCGCTGTGTGTTCGTCTCGGTGTCTGCGCGTGCGCATGTGTGGAGTGTGTTGGCGGTGGGGGCGCGTGCTGTCTTGCCGGTGCACCTTCTGTTCGGCTCCCTTTTTCATTCTCAACGTTTTTCCCTTCCTCTCTCACTCTCCCACTCTCTTTCTCTCTCGCTCACTCCGTCCCACTTCCCTGCTTCGCGCTGTAGCAGTCCTCCTGTCCATGCCGAGAATGGCGGAGGGGAGGCGGACGGACGCTGGCATTTTTGGCTCTATCGTGAAGTCCATCATTCTGCCCAGGCCGAGCCCGAGCTACGACACGGCTGTGCACCCCGGCAAACTGCTGCACATCCCGAAGGTCGACTGGAGTACGCGGCAGGAGAACGGTGCCTTCACATACGGGCTGCTGCTGCTCGACCCGACGGCGAAGTACCTCGTCATCTACGCCCACACCAACGCGGTGGACATGGCGATGATGTTCGACGAGCTCTCGTACCTGGGCGAGCGTGCCTCCACATCGGTGCTTCTCTTTGAGTACACAGGCTACGGCATCTCCGACGGTGAGACGACGGAGATATCCATGAACGAAGACATGCTCTCCGCCTACTGCTATGCCGTTCGCTACCTTCAAGTGCCGGCAAACCGAATTGTTCTCATGGGTCGCTCTATTGGCACGGGGCCATCAGTGCAGCTGTGCGCTCTCCTGCAGGACGCGGAAGAGACGCCGGCGCTGCTGGTGCTGCAGTCGCCCTTCACCTCGGTGATGGAGTGCGCCAACAAAATCACACACGTTGGCTCCATAATGGGCTTCCTAGGCTACGACTGGTTTCGTACCATCGATGTGATTGCACGGGTACGCTGCCCTATCATCATTCAGCACGGGGGTCTTGACGATGTTGTGCCCTTTGAGCACGCGGAGCGGCTTAAGCGCGTCATTGAAGATGCGACGCCCCCCGGCCTCATCGAGCTGCACGAGGAGAAGACATGCAGGCACAACGACCTCCCGGTGACGAACGCTGCGCACATCGTCGGCAAGAAGCTGCGTGGTCTGGGGCAAGAGCGGTGCCTACAGCTCAAATGCCGACCGTACCGGCTGGTGAATCCGCCCATTTACGAATATCTTTTCTGCGTCAATGGCANGCGGATCACATGTGTTGAATCGTTGCTGCGTCACTGGAACGAGACACTTGCTCTGGGCTCCTTCGTGTGCAAACGAGAGAAGCTACACGTTCTCCTTGTTGCGAGTGTCGCGCTATTTGCAATGCGCTGCGCGCTGGTGTGGCAGCGCTACATAGGGAGTTGGAAACAAGACCACAGCGGCAAGGCGGCCGGAGAGGACCCGCACTGCAGTAAGGAAGAAATCATCAACCGCTGCCTCGCTTGCTGGGGGAGTCCCCTCGGCATCTTTGTCGGGGCGCAGGGGAAATCGCCGGTGCACAAAATATTCGGCGTGCATTTCCCAGCGAATGGTGTGTCGAGTAGAAACGACAGCAGCAACATCGGCAGTTCGTCTTTCATGGCGTGCGACGACCGCCCGCCGCACTTTGGCGTTGCCGAGCTTGAGTTCACACCAGGATTGATGAAGAGTGTGGTCGTCGCGGTGTCCACGGCACCAACCCTCACAGGAGAGGCAAATGACATGGGTGTGTTTCTCCAGAAGGACATCGTGACGTGGATACAGACGGAGTGTGAACGTATCATGGCCTTTCTCGATGACAACGAATGGGAGAATCTCCGTATTTTACTGCTTAACTTCAACGCGAAGGCGCCTACATTCCTGAGCAGCAAGGCGCTTCACTTGTTCAATGAATGCACATCGCCGAGTGGCGAGGAGAGCACGCACCGCAGAAAGAAGGAGTCTATAGTGGACCTGGAGGAGTGGCTGCAGCCATGGATAGCGAGCACCAAGGCACAATCGAACTTGGGTGGTGAGGTGCCGTGGGATTACTACTTGTTCAAGGCACGCCGATGTGTGCGGGATGACCACCAGCTGCGGGCCGACTTGTGCTGGCTGGAGACGAGAAAGATCGTAGAAGCTTGGCGGGTAGTCGCAGAGATCCACCGTCTGTTTAAGAAGTACTCGCGTCGCTGCTTACGTCCAACATTCATTGCGGTATAAGACCTATACATGATATTCCCCTCCGCCCCTCATTCTCTCTCTCTTCGTTTCCTCTTCCCCTTTCCTCTTTCTGGATCGCCTACCGTGTATCTTTGTTGCCACAGATGACATTCTTTCCATTATCCTTGTTTTTTTTTTTCTCTCTCTCTCGGTCCTCTTCTTCTTCTTCTGCTGCTGCCGCCCAATGTTCTTGTTTCCGGCGTAGGCACAACGTGCGAGACGGTGTGCCGCATGCGGGGCCTCAGTCCCTCCTCGCTGTCGAGCTCCGGCACTCTCTTCGATGAGGCGGCGGCGTCTGACAAGACATCCGTGTCTCGGTTAATTGACGTGCTCGCCGCGCCCCGAGACGCTGGTGGATTTGGCGGGACGCTGCGCTATTGCGACGTGGGACTGCTGCTGCAGCAGATTGAGTGCAAATGGGACACGGATCGCCTTGACGACTGCTGGTACGACATGGTCAAGGGATTTCCGGTGACTGTCGTTGACGACATGCCCTGGGCTGCGCAGTGCATCCATGAGCACCTGCATGGAGAGGCTGTTCAGTTTGTGCTGCGGTCGCCCGCTGCACCGACACGAGACGACCCTCACGTTTCGCCACAGCGAGCACAAGACATCGACCGAATGACCACCGAGCCGCATGTCTCACGGTCGAGTAGTCGCAACGCACCACCACCACCACCACCACCACCACCACCAAAGCAACAGTCACCACCACCACCACCGAGTGATCATCCAGCAGGCAACGGGCGCTCGAGAACACCTGGAAACGCGCGTTTCGCGTCGCCAACGCTGTCAAGTATGCGACGGATCCGCTCGGTTGCGGCGCCGTCGCGGCGCAGGAGCCCTGGAATTGCCTCTCCACGGAGAGGACGCTCGCCACCGCCGACGAGCGACGATGTATTCAACCGGCTCATAGAGGACGCCAAAGATAGAAGAAGGAGGGCAACGACACCAACACCAGCGGCAACAACGCCAATATACAACTCGACCACAGCTGCAAAGGGAGCCTCGGATCACTCTTCCTCCCCGCGCCAGTCACTTCGGCGGGCGTCGCCGACTGCGCCACAATTTAACCGGCCAACAAAGTCGTACGAAGCGAAGTTGGCTCCTGAGCCTGAGCTGCTGGATCGCATAGAAGCTGCTGCGCCCACTCCACACGTGGAGCGGCGTGCCCCGCTTGGCCCATCGTCGTATGTGCCGCCGGGCTACGTCGAGGCGGTGGCGCGCCTGCGCGGATTTGCTGCGTCGCGCAATCACTATCAGTTCGTGGACTCGCTGCGTGCCGAATCACCCGCCCCTGTGGTGGCGGAGCGGTCGCCAATTCTACGTCTGCCGCTACCAGATAGTGGGGACGGGAAGAGAGTCGTCGATGTGCGCCTGGCGAGTCCAGTGCGGTCGCGCCACCATGTGATACCGCGGGATGTACCGTACGATGATCCGTCGCGTGTGCTCATTCAAGATGTTCTCTGTGGAAAGCGATTTCGGTGCCGCCAGTAGCAGCAGCAGCAGCAGCCGCGCGCTGAGGTGTCGCCAAAACGCGGCTATCCTGAAGGCGAGAACTGGCAGTGTCTTCATTTTCCCAGTGAGGGGCTTGCCATCTCTTTCTCTCCTTCTCTCTGCCCCTGCTGTTCTTTGTGTATGTGTGCTTGTTCGCGACGTGGGTGCGCTGCTGAGACTTCTTTCTTCGTTACTTTTGGGCCTGGATGTGCTTCTCGTGGCGCCCCAAAGACATCGGGAGGGGCGGCGTGAGAAGAAGGAAGGGGAAGAAGACGGCGTCAAAGGGGGGAATAACAGAAAGAAAGAAAAAAAAAACGGATATTATGAACCGGTCAACGTGGTCTCTCCTGAAGCGTGACTTTGACGCGTGGGCGTACAACATCTACTGGCCGCAGCAGAAGGCGCTGCTGCCGCTGCTCGGGTTTGCGAGCTTGGCCGTGGAGGACATTAAGTTCGCGTACAACGCGTGGTGCCTCCTGCGCCTCGCAATGTTTTACGGCACGGAGCACCCAAAGGTCCTCAGTTCGCTGGTGAACACCACGCCCTCAATGGACATTGCGTACGGTGGCAACCGTTTGTTTTACATGCACGCGAAGGTGGAGGTGCCATTGTCACGATCAAAGACAAGGGTGGCGCTGACTCCTTGCCACCCACGAGCCCAACCTCTGCAGAACTTCCCGTGGCGCAAGGTGGTCTGCGAGGCGCATGAGCGAGGCTCCCGTGGAGCAGAGGATGCTGGTGGCGTGGAGATTGTCCTCGGGATGGAGAATGGGCTGTCCAATAGTGTGGCTGAGGACTGTGATTACTGTCTCTACATTCCTCAGTACGGTTCGATAGGGTCGCTGTCAATGCTCTCTGCCATGGCGATAGCTGTTCACTCTGCGCACAGTGCACACTACACAGCGACATCTGACGCATGCGATTCACTGCCGCAGCCGTCAAAGGGGCACATGCCTCTGAGCAATGGTGATGTGAAAGGGTTACAAGGCAAGTCAATGCCACATGAAAAAGACCTTATTCACCTTAACAATAAGGAAATCGCGAGAATTCTAGAGGCGAGACGTTTATCATACCGATTACAATTGTCGGTTGTAGTGTACAATGAGTTTGGTGACCGAAACATTGGCGCAATCATGCGCAATGCCAACGTCTACAACTGCGAGCAAATGGTTGTGCTTCATCGCAGGAAATTCAGCCGACGTGGCGCTGTCGGTACACAGAATGTGCTTTGGACTTCTTTTCACGCTTCCATTGATGATGCTGATTGTCAATTGTGTCTCCGAGGAAACGTCATCTGGCTGTTGCACCAGTATTACCCGTACCTCAAGATACATGGGGACCACATGAATGATACAGCCGCAACCTTCATTCGACCCGAGAACCCTTCTCTTCAGCAGTGGGTGGGCTGTGATCATCGCATAAGTGAGGGGCACCCAATAATGAACGGAGAAGGTGGAGGAGGTGATGGTGCTGGTGCACACTTGATTGGGACAGAGGTGTACCTGGACGATTTGGACTCTCTGCGTGCTGCTGTTGAGGGCGTTGTGCAGGATGGCTACCGTGGCATCATGCTTGCCATTCCAGAGGAGGGCGCTTCGCCGCATCCGGACATTGTGAAGTGCGCACAACGGATTGTGTACCTTGTGCACCCCAGCCGTCTTGCGCGTGGGGTCCAGCGTGGTCTGAACGGTGCCCTTTCTTCTGCAGTTGCACTTGAGCGACTCAGGACGGCAATAGACGGTTTATAACAGCGTCTTGTCCTTTGCTGTCGTTGTGAATTTTTTTGTTCGGTTTGGATTGCGGCTTCTGCTAGGCGGCATTACGGTGATGCATGTGGGTTCTATTTCCTCAGAGCACTGGGCCAGAGGTGCATTGGGTGTATCTCTGCCTGCGTGTGTGTGTGTGTGTGTGTGGTCGTGGAGGGCGCTGAGCTCTTGAACGTATTAGTTCTGCCTTCCTTTGTTTCACACGGTGGGCAGAGGTAAATATCTTCTCCTTTCTTCCTTTTTTCTTTGGCGCGTCTTAGTTCCTTGACGCAGGTGATGGAAGCAAGAGTGTTTGTTGCTATAGTTGTGCTGGACGCTTTTCTGCTGTAAGACTGTGCTGCGAAGAGAGAGCGCGCATGAGGTGCGGCGCCCACTGATAGGCCCACTACCCACGCTGGGTGGTAGACATAACCGACCAACATGTGATGCTCATCGAAGTAAAAACGCGTGCGTTATCCTTTGAGTATGGCAACATCAACTTGATGAGTCTATCTCCTGACATAGCTACGGCGGCTATCCATTCACCTTGGTTTCTCCGCACCAAGGACATGGCCATTTTCTCAGGTGGCAGGGCTCATGAATGCCGTATCACCTGGGGGACACTGCCGTGGAGAAAGTGTTTTGCCGAGAACTTCGCAACAGTGATGGGGGGATATGCATTACCAAAACAGCTGATGTCGTCATTTTAAAAATCAGTATTGTGTGTGACTTTCTTTTTCTACACGAAAAAAAAAGTTGAAACTGCACAATATGCCGCTGCTTTTTCTGCACTGTTTCGCTGTACTCTGGAGGGGCCACGTGGCGCCATGTGTGGGCTTGGATTCTCTCTGTGTGTGTGTGCGCAGTGCACACGCCTCGTGGTGCACAGGTGACGGGCCGGGCTACAGCAAGAGGCGGCATGTGCGGGGGTGTTGGTGCTGTTCGCCTCATTCTTCTCTTTCCTTGTTTTTGCTTTCGTTCCTGGACTGCCTCTCTCTCTCTCTCTGTGCGCTTGCGCAGGATTGCCACCACTATTATTGTAAGCAAAGCCGACAACTTTTATATTTCGAACATGAAGTACGCCTCCGTGGATGACTTCCTCGAGAAATGCGCGCTGAAGCGGGACCCGCACCAGCCTGAATTCCTTCAGGCAGTTCATGAAGTGATGACCTCGCTGTGGCCGTTTCTGCAAAGCCACCCGGAATACTGCGAGGATTCTCTTCTGGAGCGCCTGGTGGAGCCGGAGCGCGTGATTCAGTTCCGCGTCTCTTGGGTCGACGACAAGGGCGACGTGCAGGTGAACCGCGCGTGGCGTGTGCAGTTCAACTCCAGCATCGGCCCGTACAAGGGCGGCATGCGGTTCCACCCCACCGTCAACCTGTCGATCCTCAAGTTCCTTGGCTTTGAGCAGACCTTTAAGAACGCACTGACCACACTGCCGATGGGCGGCGGCAAGGGCGGATCCGACTTTGACCCGAAGGGCAAGAGCGACCACGAGGTGATGCGGTTCTGCCAGGCGCTGGTGACGGAGCTGTACCGCCACATCGGCCCCAACACGGACGTGCCGGCCGGCGACATTGGCGTCGGTGGCCGCGAGGTCGGCTTCATGACGGGCATGTCACAGAAGCTGACCAACAACAAGGCCTGCACCTTCACCGGGAAGGGTATCGCCTTCCAGGGGAGCCAGATGCGCCCCGAGGCGACGGGCTACGGCATCGTGTACTTCTTGGAGGCCGTGCTGAAGCAGCATAACCAGCAGCTGAAGGGAAAGACGATCATTGTGTCTGGCTGTGGAAATGTTGCCCAGCACGCGGTGGAGAAGTGCCTCCAGCTTGGTGCCAAGGTGATCAGCGTGTCTGACTCGCGTGGCTGCGTGCATGATCCGGAAGGTTTCACCCCTGAGAAGCTGGCGGAATTAATGCGAGTCAAAAACGCAAAGCGTGGGACTGTTGAGGAGTACGCAAAGCAGTTTGGTCTTCAGTACGAGGCGGGCAAGCGCCCGTGGCACCTCAAGGCGGATATTGCCCTTCCGTGTGCGACGCAGAATGAACTGGAGCTGAAGGATGCGAAGGACCTGATCAAGAATGGCGTCTGTGTTGTGGTCGAGGGCGCGAACATGCCGACAACGGCGGACGCCACCACGGAGCTCATCAATGCGGGGATTGTTTTCGCCCCCGGCAAGGCCGCCAACGCTGGCGGTGTTGCCATGTCCGGGCTTGAGATGTCGCAGAACGCTGCCCGTCTAAGCTGGACAGCGGAGGAGCTGGACAAGAGGCTCCGCGAGATTATGAACTCCATTCACAGTGCCTGCGTGAAGTACGGCAAGGAGGGTGACAAGGTGAACTATGTGAATGGAGCCAACATTGCCGGCTTCGTCAAGGTTGCAGAGGCGATGAAGGGTCTCGGTGTTGTTTAATAAACACCTCAAAGATGATTCGAGTTGCATATGTTTCTTTGGTTGACGCGCCGACACGGATAATATGGCTCCCGCCGGGCCGCACATGTGTGAGGCCATTAGAATATGCGAGCCGACATCCGTAATCGTACGCGCACCTATTTTTTTTTTTTTGGGGGGGGGTGTTTTTGGAAAGGAAGGCGTGTAATGTGCTGGGCGGGTACTGACTTGTTTTCTATATAAGGTGAGCTTCGAAACGAAGGGAGCGCAACGCAAAAAGGATATTCCTTCTTGTTTTAATTCATTATGTCTGATGGGAACCAACAAAACAAAGAAAATAAACAATCCCTTTCCCACTACAATCTTTTTGTCACTCACTTGGTCGTGTCCTTTTTTTTTCTTCTTTCCAGCGACGTGTCTTCAGCTGCCATGCGTCTGAATTTGACGTGATCGTGTGTGACTACACTTGACCTTTGCGCCACGTGATTTGCTGATTGGACACTACCTTCTCTTTTTGCTTTGCCTTGGCGGGCTGTGTGCGCTAGAGTGCTGATTTGCTGCAGCACATGTGAGGGGCTGCTGTTCGTGCGGCGCGTGGCGAAGATGTTTTGTCTGTTGGCCGCTGCACGAGCGATGCGAGTAATTCCACGGTGCCCATGCTCCATGCTCATGACATCCATTCCACGTCGAGTAGGGGCAGTGAAGAAGGTGGTGGCGACACGGTGAGGTGACGAATACTCCAAACGACACAAACCCACCGAACAAACTCTCACGCCTGGGGGGAATGCAGACATGTGGTACTTGGCCATTGTGGCTCATGCCATCATACGGCCAAAGCAAGATGTGAATGAAGGCGCTATGGTAGAAGCCCGAATTGGTATGCAGGAGCTGTCACTGTGAGAATTTTCGTCACAGGCGTATGTCCCATTCCTGCAAAAGCCTCTCTCATTGGTGGCAGTGGCGCGAACCGCAGACTTCGCCAATGTGAAGTGTGATGTATCACTGTCCTCATGGGAGTTTTCAGAGTTGAGTGAGCAGATCCGGTGTGTATTGTCGCTGCTAACCAAAATCCGTGCAAACGAAAGTAGGGATGCGCATTCCTGTATTGTGGAGATGGGGAATCAGTTAGGGGTGCCGATCACCCTACAAAATGACGCTGAGAAGTTTGCATTAGAGGATCGACTTGCTCTTAAGAGGAGGGCGCTTCTCTTCCCCAATTGCGTCAAGTTGGTGGGAGAGAATCTTTTGCCATGCGCAACAACTTTACGATCAGGTAGTGGTGTAGACTCTGCGGTAATGGTTCAGCCAGGAGAAGTGTTGTGTGTTCCTCTTGCCTTTATGGATAGCCCAGATGTCGTCATTGGTCTGGTCCCTCTTGATGGGGGAAACGCGTCTAGCGAGGAGCCGCTGGGGGAGCTCTCACCCAGAGGTCTTCTCCTTGTTGCAGAGTCTCGCGGAGTGGATTCTATTGGAAGACTGAAGGAGTTCACATTTAAAACTTCTTCGGCAGCTGCAACGACAGAAGAGACTGCTTACGTGGATGTGACGTACCATTTGCAGGGATCTGTTCTCACCATGATCCTAGCTCCATCAAGGCCTACCATCCACAATGGGACTCGCTTTCCACTAAAGGTTTTTCTTTTCCTCGGTGGGCATCCTGTGGAGGAGGCCACCGTAAACCCAGAGGAGACTTTTGTGACGCTTAAAAATGACCCGTTTGGCCCACAGCTGCAGTACCTCTTCCAATGCGATGTACACGGTGCACTCTACACTGCGGATGAACGAGTCGATTTGAACTCTATCGACCCTGAGGTGGGGGAGATTATTGTGCTGAAGCATGAAGAATATCCTCGACGGTGTTTCTTTGAGTTGAGTATCGAACGCCGACCATGCGATGTTGGTGGTACCACGTTGGTGTACAGTGTGCTGCCACGCTATATTTTCGGTGTGGAAAATAATTCACTCATAGATGTGGAAATTACATCCGAGAGTGGTGATTCCGTCGGTACGTTGGGTGTCGGCGTGCTCTCATCCACGCCTCTGAGCAACTTTGCATACCTTCCTCTTAATACACAGATGGTACGGAGTGTGGGAATGACAAAGTCTGCGGCCTTTGAGATTGGCGAGAGCCTAGAGGAGCGACTGGTAATGTGTGGCCCTGTTGACCGTGATGAAACGGATGGCCTATCACACTGTTTCTTGCTGCGCGCACGAACAGGTGACGCGAAGGGTGTTATGGAGTTGCTCCCAGCGCTTTTTTTAGTAAACATGGACCCCACACGCAGCCTTTTTGTGAGGCATACCATCAAGAGCAGCAACGGTACGATAGGTAGCACCGAAAGAGTCCATCGTGTCGTCGTGCCCTCTTCCGGTATGCTTTCACACACTACACTCTCACGTTACGGCTACACCGATTTCTTTGCTTTTGCGTGGGAGGACGGTGCGGATGACTGCGCTTACTCATCTCCAGTGGAGGCGACGCTCTCACCAGGGACGGATTGGACAGGATTCGTACAATGTGGGCATACCCACCACGCGGTACAAATACGCAAAGGTGGTGCCTGCGATGCCGCTGTGCTGGCAGTCAGTGCCCCGCGACGACCGTATCTAAAACTGGTGAATCTGACACCGTATGCATACGACGCTCTTGGCCCAATGTCGATTTCGTCCTGTACACCACCCTCTGTCAACAATGAGGAGGTGATTCTTTGCTCTGGAGGCAATGAAACACGGGTACAACTCAGCCGAAACCTCTGTGCAGATGTTGGTAGAGGTGTGATGGCTTTTGTGAAGAATCAGCGTGACGCTGCTACCGTGGTTTTGTCGCTTGCACCACTTAATACGGTTACCCTTGCGGAGGCTAATGGCCCATCAGCACTCGCTCCTCGGATTAACGACGAAAACGAAGATGCTGTGCTGAAAGAAAAGGCCTTGGTGCGTGTAGACATTAAAGCTTCTCAGTCATCTCTCAGCATTCGAGATGGTGGGGAGCTTCCTCTGCACGTCACTCTTGAGAGCAGTGAATTCTGGTTGGTCTATCAAACGATGAAAGTAACAGCTCAGTGCACGGTGTCAAATGTGTGTATACAAGGCACCTATAAGGAGAAGAAGAACAATGTAGTAAAACCATTTAGCTTCAATATGTCCGTTCACGACGTTGAAATTGGAGCTAATACGATAAATGTTCTTTCTACGCAACTGAATCTGACGCAACTCGAACTGGAAGTATCTGATGTGCTATTGTATCAACTGCAGCAGTTGTCGAAGCATTGTCGCCCACATCAACCGAATCTGGGCGAACCAAACACTTCAATGGCGCCCTTTCCCGTCGCGCATCTGCCGATGTTCAAAAACAAACGAATGCAGCTAGTATCTGTGGCAGTCTTTGAGGTTTCCGTTGTTATAACATATGATAGAAGCGTGAGCCCTCCTGAAGATGTTTTGTTCCGTGGATCGCCCATCGGAAGTCTCATTCCGTCTCTGCACCGTGCCTCCATGAGGCTACCAACTGTGCGGCTTCGTGATGTCTCTGGGGCATCTGCCTTGGAAGTGGGGAATATTGTGCGGGAAGTGCTTTTCATTGAAATTGTGAAGCAGATCCCAAACTTGGTGACAAGTGTTGTTTTGTTTCCATCGCTCTCTCCGCTTGGCAGCATGCTGAGCCGAGTTGGGTCTTTCATTTTTGGGTCAAGAGGCAGTTCCTCTGATTTGCCTGGTACCACCCTCATTTGAGGGAAAAGAAAGCGTAAGAGAGGGAATAATTTTTAAAGAAAACACATGGAGCGGCCTTGCTTACTTTCTTGGGCGTCTTCTAGTGGGCATGTGTTGTCGGAACAGGGCCCCTTAACTAGAAGAGGCGTGCGTGCTGAGTTGTGTCGCCCGTGCACCCCGCTGGGAGGCGATGCGACAGGCCTCTGTGGAATGAATCCACATCCTTGCACTTACAGATGCCTGTATGGAAGTTTAATATTTAAAACCATCTGAATCACAATGCATTCTTTAGGGTCTGCTGCCCCATGGGTATACTCGACTTTGAGGCTTTCGTTCTTGCAAACTTCCTTTTCCCTTCTTAATACAAAAGTGAAGGTTTTAGAAAAGGGACCCTTTATGGTTATGTGTCTTCTTTTGTCTACACACATAATAAATACATGTTATGACGCTCTGTAGCCAGATGGCGTGGGGCGTGGACAATCCCTTGTAAATTGTGCCAAGCAACTGCTATTCCTCTTGTCAGGTGCGATGCTTGACACTCCCCTAACGTGTGTTGGAATTCATGGGCAAGGCAGGAATCCGCAGGTTTTTTATTTTCCTTACCAGCTCAAGGGGGACCAGAAGCGCGATAACAAGAAATACGCTGTGCACCTCACAATGCATTGTCATTTCAATTATATGTTTACGGCTAGGCTACCGTCTAGGGGAAGGAGCGTATGCACCCTTTTTTGGTCACCCTGAGTGGAAGAAACGAGAGTTGATGCGTTGACCAGTGTGCCGATGGGGAGTGCGCCGTATGTATGTGTGTGTGCGTGGGAGGGTGGGTCCTTGCCGTTTTTAGTTCCCGCTGAGTGTGTGGTAAGGCAGTACTATGTAGTGTGATGGTGTGCAGCCAGGAAGCGCCGTCGTAACGTAGCAGGAATAGGCCTTTGTGCCTGAGCTGGCAGGGTGCAAGTCTGCACCTTCCATGGTCGGTGTATACTCACTATTGCCAGCATCTCTGCTGGGCTGTTTTCTTCGAGGCAATATTTTCTCAGACTACCTGTTTTGGCCTGGTCCCCTACGGCTTGGAGTTTTGTCACTCGTAGCAGCTCTCTCATTGGTGCCATGCTACACTACATGTTGTTTCACAGCGTTCAGTCGTGGAGGGGTTACGTTGCCCTTTCGGTGTTTGATGCTCACCGCTTTTTTAGAGAGAGCGGCTTTTCTCCACTGGAGACAGAATCGGCATTGTTCCTTAACGCTTCTCTTGAGGTTTTTCATACGGGGCCACGGTGCATTGCTCATCCATGTTGATGCTAATGGCGATGACAGCTCCCTTCCTTAGTGACTTTGGCTCCTCAGTTTCAGGTGAGGCGGTGGGTCTTGTGGGATATCCATGCAAGCAATCAACTTGGCGGGATTTTACCGGACGGCTACATTCAGCTGCTGAGGGTTCGATGCAGAGAAATTCGTCGCGCAGATGCCACTAGCCGGTGACGAACACTTTGCTCGAACCTTGATGCATATTGACAGCAATAGCTAGCATATTATACGACGCGTATGCTCCCCCTCCCTCTCGGCACACCAGCCGTTAAGTCAGATGGGGTTGCGCTTTCAAAACACAAAAACGTGAGCCATCTGACCCACATGTTTGCTGCAATAGCGCGAAGACACCTGCGATCTTGCTCCCCGCCCCCAATCAAAACAAGGGATTGAGGTTTTCAGCCGATAACAATGGCTGGGCGTGATCGCGCTCTGCGCATCCTGCCACTAGGATCTGCACCGGGACCCGACATGATCCGTAGGGAGGCACTGCGACACGTTGGAAAATGTGCAAAACACTCTGTCCTGACGCTATTCAACAAGAGCTTGAGTACTGGCATCGTCCCACAGAGCTGGAGGCACGGGATTATAATCCCACTTCTCAAACCGGGCAAGAAAGCGACTGAACTGGCGTCGTACAG